GCCTCGGCGCGCTGCCTGAGGATGCCGAGCTGGCTCATCTTGTCCCCGAGGAAGCGGAGGTCGTCCTCATACTCATCGTCAAACTCATCATCGTCTTCGTCGTCCTCATCATCATACATATCATCTTCGTCATCCGAGCTCAGGTCAGGGAGCTGGTGCTTGCTGTGCTGGCTCTTGAAGGCCTTGAGCCCCTGCATGAGGCTCCCAACTCCGCCACCAAGCTTGCCCTGCTCCTTCTGCCCGCCGCTGCCCTTGCCGCCGCCATCCTTGCTCACATTGGCAGCCTGCTTCTGCTGCTGCTGCTGCTGCTGCTTCTGCTGGTTGTTGTTGTTGTTGCCATTGCCCTTGTGGCCCTGGTTGTTGTTGCCGCTGCCGCCCTTCTGGTGTGACCACAGCTCTGCGTGCTTGCCCCCTCTGGTGAGCTTCCGGATGAGCGTCTCAGAGTCGACGCTGCCAGTCACCGTGACCTTGTGGTTGTCCACATCGATGGCCACCGAGTAGACGCCTGCAATGAACAGAAAGCAGAGAGGGAGTGTTCACAGGTTGCTCGTGAGCCATGGTAAATTACAAAGTACTACTGCTCATTACTAATGAAGCATCACAAGATTTGCAGGTTTGTGCAGTGAGTCTGGGTGGGGTTCATCCATCCATCCAACCATCCTGTGTGTGTCATTTCCTACCAGCCGTTTGTGAGATTCGACACAACAATCACCTCAGCTACAAGTTCATTAACTATCAATTAGCTCAGGATTTACTCACAGCATCCATAACTACTTTACTTACTACATCGATTCGGTCTGAACATTTAATTAGGATGGCCCTGACGACATGAAAAGCAGGGATTTCTTGTCGTGTAAGCGCATTTGGCAAGACTCGTGGGGGTGGTTTCAGGTCCAGATGCAAGTGGGCAGGCAAAGCCCAAAGCTTGAGGCCTTTATTAACAGTTACAGCAAAGCGTGCGTCAAAGAGAACAAAGAGGGAGCTATAACAACAACAGCAAACAAGTAGCACCACCAGCAGCTTAGACCGCTAGAATGGCGCATGTGCAGCAGCAAGGAAGGAGCCAACAGAAAGAACACGCAGGATTGGATTGGATTGGAAGGCGATGGACACTAGCTGGGCGTGTGTGTACCTTCGATCTTCTGGAGCAGCTTCTTGACCTTGTGCTTGCAGCCGTCGCAGTGTATGTTCACCCTCAGGACATGGGTCTGCAGGAGGCAAGCAAGCAAAGCCCCAAGAAACAAGAACAGTTCATGAGCTCCCTCCCAATCCCAAGCACCACCACACCAAGAACAGTTTGAGCAGAGCTCCTCACAAATCCACACACTAGACTACAGAGAAAAGAAAGAAATAAACAGAGAGAGTGCCAAGAGGGATGGATGGAGAGGGAGGTACCTGGATCTTGACCAGCTTGAAGTCCTCATCCTTGGTCATCTCTGCAGAGCCACCACTGCTGCGCAAGCTTTCTATGGGAGAATGGAGGCAGAGGGAGGAGGAAGAGAGCGTGTGTGTGTGTGTGTGGGTGTGGGAGGGGGAGGGGCAGTGGCTAGTGGAGGAGTGGGGAAGTGATGGTGGTGCTGGCGCTGGCGTTGGCTCTTGTACCCCTCCTTCCCTGTGCATTTAAGAATGTGTCGTTCGGTTCTAACTTCTACTACTCCTTCCTCCTTCCTCCCGCTCTCCCCCCACTCTTCTTATAATCTCACTGCCCCTCCCACATGGGTGAGGCCGTGAGGGGAGGGCCATCTCTTCCATCCTCCTCCTTCGCCCTGCCTGCCCTGCTGCCCCCACCTCTCCGGTAAAAAAATTATATTGCAAGGTTTGTACCGCACGGTACATGCACGGTTACTACACACGGCCTCCTCATTGTCTCACACTCTCTCGTTAGGACAGTGTGGTGAAAAAATCTCTCTCTCTCTCTCTCTCTCTCTCTCTCTCTCTCACACACACACACACACACACACGCACGCTCTTGTCAGGATAGTGTGGTGAAAAAAATATCTCTTCTTTTGTAGTCTCTCCAGGAGGCTGTCTGAAGAGGCTGGCCGGGTTGGGGATGGGCTTTGGATTTTGGAATTGGCAGTGGGGGAGAACTATGGGTTTGTATCATGATAAAATTTTGTGAGGGGGCACTACGGTCCAGTGCTACACTAATGACCCTACGTGGGTGCGTGTTGTACACATGTATATAGAGTACAATAGTAGCAGCTGACTGACCAGTGGCCGGTGAAGAACATGTTGCAGGCCCAGCATGTTGCCACCTTGATGGTCCGCTGCTACAAACCAAACCGAATTGGTGAGACCCGTTCAATTAGCCACTAATGCACTGTTAACACCTCCTTTTCTTCTGTTGTGGGTGGAAGATTCATGGTACCATAAAGTTGTCACTTTTTATTCGGTTTGAAATATCAACCTAGTTAAGTTGGTGAGCAACTACACTTTCAGAGCCGCTAGTCCCCACACCACACCACACCCCCACAGCCTTGATGCCTTGTGGTACTGCTAGGGTGCTGAGTCCAACAGAGTAATTAAAATGCCCAATGTCACAAGGAAATTACAAGTTACTACTTATTATATTTACCCTTTCTCAAACTAACCCACTAGAGATTAATGGGAAAAAATAGTCTTGACACAGAATGTGCCATCTTTTATGTCATTGGTGTCAAGCAATCGAAAATGGACTTTAGTAAGCTCGGCAAATCCTTGGCATGTATTGTCATCGTCGCGACAACCATAACTGACATGAAAAGCCTTCGATTTGCCATGGTTAAAAATCCGACATTCTGAAATCAGATTTTCCAACATTACCGCAGAAAATAACCACATCTGTACCAGGTCGACGGATCACTAACGTGGGCCCACATGTCGGATCAACATTGCCTGCTGCTGCTGCTGCTCAAAGATCTTTGCTCCACGCCAGCGTGCTGCGCCATGGAAGATGCTACTGTGGTGTAGTGTCAGCGTGTGGCTAGCTAGCTAGCATCCGGAATTCATGGCTGCTGCTGCTGCTGCCACCACTGGTCATCTGCTGCCGCTGCTGCTGCTCTTCAAGTCCGGGTAGCAAGCAAGTACGTACGTGTGTAACTCTGGTTGGGGCTTGACGGCTTGTGCTACCCCTATGGAAACCTGACCTTGACCTACATTGGCCCTGTTTAGATACTCTAACTAAGTTAGAGGCTAGAGTTAGATTCTAACTCTAAACTAACCTTAAACTAACTCTAACCAAAGTGGTGTTTGGATAGCAAGGTTAGATTGACAATAAATGCTCCTTCTCAATCATTTGGCTACTTTAGACCCTATTTTCTGCCGGATTTAATGTGGCCGGCTCTTGTGTGGCCTCCTCCCGCTCACAATTGACATAAACGAATCATGTTTACAAATCAAGCATGCAAAACTTGATAAAAAAATTGTCCATACAAATGAGATGTCCCACTTAAACATAACTTAAACATACAAGTCGTCAATCGAAGCTTCAAAAAATATTACACTCCATAAAACAAAGTATGAGCTAACTCATCACGGAAGGCATTCATGTTGATATCTTCAACAAGAGGTTCGTCTTCTGGCCATGCGGATGCAGAAGAACTAGGCATTGGGTTATAATTTTCATCTGCATCACAAGCATCAAATTCCCTATCCGCAATTCTGCTCTCTCGAATGAAATTATAAAGATCCATACAGGCAACAATAATTCTACTTTGCTTGTCCTCTGGAAATTTTGGCATGTTCAATAAAATCCTAAATTTCATCTTCAACACTCCAAAGGATCGCTCAACGACATTCCTAACTTTGGCATGTGCATGGTTGAAGGTTTCTTTCATACCTTGTGGCGGCGGGCCATTTTGCCATTGTTGTACATGGTACCTTGTACATCTGTATGGTGAAAGGTAGCCTGGCCGGTTTGGGTATCCCGCATCAACCACATAATACTTCCCTACATATTACGAAAGGCATAGAATGAGACTTAGATGAACTAGTGTAGTTAGATAAAAAATATTGCAAGACAGTTCAAGTCGCAAACTTGGTGGTGGATGTGGAAATTTGTCTTGATGAGTAGTTACGGCATCTTTGAAAACTCTCATGTCATGTGCTGAACCAGACCATCCCGACATCACAAATGTAAATCTCATGTCGAAATCACAAACAGCAAGCACATTCTGACTGGTTTCATTGTGCCTGTTCAAGTATGGAACCCTCTTACTCTTATCCACCACAACATTCACATGTGTCCCATCTATAGCTCCTATGCAGTCATTGAAGTGTGGCCAGAATACTGGATTTTCTAAGTTTGGGTGCACCTCTGAAAATGTTGGATCCTTAGGTACAATTATGTCATGTGCTAACCTGAGGAGGCATGCCAAAACTCTATTAAATGTCCTACTTACTGTCTCCATAGACCTTCTGAAACGGTTCTCAGCCTGTCTAACTGACTGTGGTGATCCAACAATCCATAAAAACATAGCTAGAGCCTCTACAGATGTCATTTTTGTAGTGGACTTCAAGCCATATGATTGCACCAAAGTATTATGTAGCCTATTAAACAAAGGTCTCTCAACCCTAAACATGTTATAGCATTGGGTATCTCGGGCTAGTGTCTCCTGCATCCAATCCAAACCAGAATATCCACTGACCCTCCTAGGTAGTTTCACAAAGTAGTTATCAGAGTACATACCCAAGATAGGAACCAACTTCAAGATTAAATTCTCGGACTTCACCAAATTGTTGCGGCACATGGATATGATCTCATCCTCACTTGTGCTACCTCCATCATATTCTTCTTCCTCAGTCATGGGGACATGATCTTCTTCCTGCTTCAACACATGTACCAAATCGTCAACACATAGCATAAAACTTGAAGGAATGTAAGCAAATGAAATTAATTCGGCCCACAGATAAAACAAAATAGGTTCAACACAAATAATAGTTCAACGCCTCACAAACACATGACAGGTTCAACATACAACAATTTAAATAGGTTCAACATCTTAACACACACTTCCCAACTACTCCAAATTGTTGTCTCTGCACCATTTCTTGAAGTAACCCAACCTAAGCTCAGCAGTTAATTGGCCACAAAAGAACTCCCTTTGGTACTCCGTTTCGAACATCTTGGACATAGCATAGACAGAGTCAACTGTTTGCTGAACACCGCACTCAAATGCCAGCTCCTGACACCTCTTCACAGAAAATGCAGCCTTCTCATTTGCACGTTTCTGCATTTGCTTAGTGTTGGCTGCGACAGACTCCTTGTAGGTATTGGCTATGTCCTTGACAATTTTCACCATTGGGCTCTTGCTCTTCTTCAATGGACTAGTCAAAGTGCTTGAAGTGCTTAATGACCTCTTGCCCCTCTGGCTCCTCTGGTTGCTTGTACTTGTAGGTGTTCCTTGAAACTCCTCTTCTGCCCCTGCATCTTGCCCTTGAGTCTGACCATAATCATCTCCAGGCACAAAGGCTGTGCTTCCATCCACGGTGCAACCTCTGAACAGTTGATCAAGCAACTCCTCGTTTGCTGGAGGACCCCACTGCAACTTCCTTAGGTATGGTTTCTTCTGCAAGATAGTGAAAATGTAAAACTAGTTAGGATATGAGAGCACACTTCAGAATCTATCTACTATATTATTAAAATGAGTCATCCTGTATGTGCAGCCAAGAAAAAGTGAAAAAGGAGTGCAAAATAATCTGATTCACTGATTGTATAGTGGGTTCAAATTAGAACAAACAAGATTTAAAATTAGTACAGTGCGTAGAAGAATAAAGCATTTATATTATGTAAAAATAATTCAGAATTGTAGTTGAACTTCACTTTTTGAGTAAATTTTGTTGCCGCTGACCAAAATGAGCACAACCCAGCCTAGCATATGAAACATAAGTACAGTATGTAGTTGAGTCACATCTAGCTAGCCTTAGTTAAAAGTGCACCTCTGCTAACCAAAATAAGCACAACCCAGCCTAGCATATGAAACATATGTACAGTATGTAGTTGAGTCACATCTAGCTAGCCTTAGTGAAAAGTGTGCCTCTGTGTGTGTTATCCAGAACTCAGAGTCGGCATCAATGGTTCCATCTGGTTTCCTCCCCAACCCTATGTGCACTTGCATGTATCGCCAAAAGGAGTGGGTGTTTTTGAGTACGACTATCTGGTTCTTCACCTGCACACGGGAATACACCAACCCCCTTCTAGCAAGTAAGCCGTCCATAACAGCTTGGTACCCTTCAGCAGTCATTGTTACACCATTATACGTTCCTGCTGCACGTTGCTCAATGCACAATTCTAACAAGCAAGCACTATTAGCATCATTCCATTGGGCTCGATTGTTTTGGCTCACCGAGGGACCTCCGGAGCTCGCAAACTCTTCCACGTCATCCTCCAATTCTTCATCACCATTGTCAAAGGGAGCGCCAGAGCCGGATGCTTGCGCACGGACAGCACTCCTCGGTGCCCGGCGGCTGGGTGCCGCGGCGGCCGAGTTGGCGCGCTGCCGAACGTCGCCGCCACTGAACGCCGTGCCGGTGCGCTGGTTACGGCGGCTGGGTGCCGCGGCGGCCGAGTTGGCGCGCTGCTGAACACCGCCGCCTGCCCCCGACGACGACCCGCCAAGGAACACGCCACCGTTTCCTCCTCCGCGACCGGCTGCCGCCGCTGAGGAGCCGCCGAAGTTCAGTCGCCGGGCGTAGGGTGGGCGATAGGGAGGGAGCCCGGAGCCCCTGACGCGCCCAGGGAGGAGCTCGTCATCATCGCTCTGGAGGAAGGCTCCGTAGAGCCCAAGCCCCGGGAACCCCTCCGACACCGGTGCTTGCGAGTTGAGGTCGAGACCGGCATGGGTAGCAGGGCCGCTTGCCGATGGCTGTGAACCCCAAACGTCGAAGCCGTCTCCATCCATCGCGGGTGCTCTACTCCAAGCTATACTACCTGCACCAGAAGAGAAGAATCAGTAGCACATTCAGGAAAGCACAATGGAAACACACAGAAAGAAGAGAATAAGGAGACCGGAGTAATATTCGGGAACACATGAAAAGATGGATAAAATATATAGGTTAAGATAACCAACTTCTACGACAAACAACTATACATAGGATTGTGATACACAGGACATTTATACAAGCATGCGATTCCACTTTTACACAAGCATTTTATAACAACGATTGTGATACACAGGACAGGAGTAAATATACACATTTTAGGCAAAGCAATGTAAGTAAATATAAATAGCAAAGAACAACCTCAGCCCCCACCTTTTCACATGCCTGTATTGCAGCCATTTAGCAATGATAGTAGAAAATGAAACACAACAGAAGGAATTGAGGTACAAAGTATCCTATAAAATCCAAGCCATAGTAGCCCGGAACGCGGGTCGACGCCGCGTCCCGTGTACCGTTCCCATGATGACCGAACGTTGCAGTTATACAAGAAATGAAAAAACACAGCGTGGCCGTAACTGTAGGCGAGATAATTTAGGAACAGAAGGCCAGAAAGGACGTAAATAACAACAGTCCTCTAATACCGGATGGACTTCCTTAATTTGCTCTTGCCTTGAACGATATTGCACTCTTTCCTTAATCTGTTTTTGTTTCCATGTACAATAATAGTCTTCCTTCTTCAGGAAATTCATGAATTAGACTGGCCATCTAGCAACCAAAACACATGACCGAAATTACAGAAATTCATGGAATAAATTGTCCATCTAGCAACCAGAGAAGGAACCCTCGAACTCACCCCCAGATGCGCTGCGAGCGGCGGTCGGAGAAGGGCGAGCGGCGGCCGGTGAGGAGGGAGCAGCGGGAGCGGCGACTGAGGGAGGGTGAGCGGCTGACGGAGGAGGGCGAGCGGCGACCGGAGGAGGGCGAGCGGCTGACGGAGGAGGGCGAGCGGGGCCGCAGGAGGGCGCTCCCGGGGTTCCGGCGGCGCGGCGCTGCGCTTGGGCGAGCGGCGCAATGGGGAGGAGTCGTGCGAGGTGGGTGGAGAGGAGGGATCTGGTGCGGGAGGGGTGAGTTTTTTCACTATTTTTTTAGTGGGCCCAGAAAAACTAACCCAAATAAGCTCCTCTAGTGTGGGCTAGTTTTTTGGGGTGGGTTAGATCCAACTAACCCATCATGTTTGGATCCTTTTGGGTTATTTGAGCCCAATCTAACTATATCTAACTCTAACTTAGGGATCCAAACAGGGCCATTACTATTCTACTGCAATGGTTTGTGTCCTCCAGGCATCGCAGAGTTGGCCGGCTCACTGTCGAGATTATTGGAGGATCCATTTGAACGGAGGTGTCAACATGACCTCTCAGTCTCGGAAGAGAACTTGAGGGAAGCATCTCCTCGGTAAGCACTGGCAGGTGTGTTGTTTTCCTGCTCAACTTTTTCATTAACTTGTACATGAAATGAATGCCACACGTGCCGGCAACAAGGGTAGTTGTACTACATGAGAGGTTATAATCTGTGGCAGAAATCACATTTTTTACCTGAGGCAGAAATCAATTCACAAACTGACCTGCTTTCAAAAAAATTTCACTCTGCTGACCCTTTCGTGTGGCGCCCGACAGCTAGGCGTCGCACCCTACTGTGCAGCGCCTATCCCTTAGGCGCCACACTTCCTGCCAGCGTGGCAGCCCTGGTCCAGCTGCGGCCCCACACGCACCTGTGCAGCGCCTAAGTCTTAGGCGCCACACATGTAATGTGCAGCGCCTAGATCGTGGGCGCTGCACAGTCTGTGTTCCACTTGGGCTGGCCCCACCCTCTCTCCCCTCCCACCCCCACCCCACACACCCCCACCCCACCCAAACCCTAAGGCTTGCGGCCCTCCTCTCTTCCCCTCTCCCCCCCTCTCAAATCCTTCTCAAATCTTGCAAATCCGGAGTATTTGACCATGGATTTCGAAGCCAACCCCTCCCTTAAGGTAATCTCCTCCCATCCCCTCGTTTTCATCCATAGGAATTGTCACATTTGCTCAAATCTTGCTAGTTTGGGGGAAACCCTAGTTTTGACTTGGATTTGCAAATTTGTGTTGAATGATGTTATGTTTATTTGCTAACTTGGGTTGGTTAAGCTTCCATAGTATGCTAGGGTTAGGGTTATGTGTGTTTGATGTTGGTGTTAGGGTTATGCTATGGTTATGGTTGTTTTATATGTTAGGGCATATGTGTGCAAATATTTTTCTTAAGTATTTACTTGATATATGTGTGTTTTTGATTATTGTAGGGATGGGGAGAACATGTGTTTATGTTCATCATGTGGATAGAGAGGCCTTTTTGAAAGGCAATGTTGAGACGGACCCGAATGAGCTTGACATGGTGTCTGAGAGTAGTCCTAGCTATGCGGAGCTTTTGGAACAAGTGAGGAAAGATTTGAATTGGACGGACCCAAGTGACGTTGTTGAGTTCGAGGGAAGGCATAATGTTGGTTTTGGAATGCACATCCGTTGGAAGACAATGCGTGTGAACTCCGAGCAACGTTGGGTTGCATACAAGGAGACGGTTGCCGAATCTCTAGACAAGGCTCTTGAGTTATTTGTCTCCAAGAAGGTTGAGTCTACTTTGAATTTAGACTTGAACCGGAACCCCTCCCCGTTGGTTGCTAGCACTCCCCCACCCATGAACCAAGATCAAATGAGTGAACCTCAATTCACGCAACAAGATTGGCCAACATTGAGCCCGACTCCAAACAACCAAAATGAAGGTTGAGTACGAGGAGGATGACAACGAAGTTGACCTCCATGACAACAATGTGGGTGATCTCGACCAATATCATGTGCAAGAGACAATGGACCAATCCATCCCTTTTTCCCGTGCATATGCATCGGACTCGGATGACGATGGTCCCGATGAAGAAGTTGATGAGGAGGGGTTCACGCCGAAGGAGGCCGAAGCATTCAAGAAGGTATTCGGGCGGGATCACAAGACACCATTGTTCAAGGATCTTAGTCTCGCGGATGAAGCCGTTGTGGATGGTGGCAAATGCATATCTCTTGGAGCTAGGCCAAGTTCTCACCGTGATTTGGAAGACGGCAAGAACGGGATATATCCCGGTTGTGAGTTTCAATCCTTCTTGGAATTGAAGATGTGGCTCGACAACTACTCGGTTACACATTATCGTCCACATAAAGTGGCCAACTCGGATGTTAATGTGCGTTACACGGTCAAATGTGAAGTGCCAACATGTCCATGGATTGTGCGTGCAAGGCCATGGAAAGGAGGTCCCACTTGGCGCATAGTGAGTTGTCTACCAACTCACATGTGCCGACACAAGAATGCGGATGGCAAGCTTGTGCACCAACAACACAGACAACTCACGTCCGAGTTCATTGCTTACAGGCTGTCCAACCAAATATCCACACTTCCAATAATGAGCATCAAGAGTGTCATTGACCTTGTGAAAGCCATCTTTCATTACAAGGTGAAGTACGGCAAGGCATGGAAGGCGAAGCAAGCCGCATTCAAGATGTTGTATGGCAATTGGGAGGAAGCATACAACCGACTCCCTAGGTTGTTGTTAGCTATGGCCACCACAAACCCAGGCATGGTTCACGTGGTTGAGCCTCATGGGCACCAAACTTTGATTCATAACGGGAGGACCGTCCGAGTATTTGGCCGTGCATTTTGGGCCTTTGAGCAATGCGTGAGGGCTTTTGAGCATTGTCGGCCCGTCATCGCCATTGATGGCACGTTCTTGACCGGACAATACAAGGGCACTTTATTGGTTGCAATAGCAAGTGATGCCAATAACCGGGTGTTGCCTTTGGCTTTCGCTTTGGTTGAGGTGGAGAACAATGATAACTGGGAGTGGTTCTTGCGTCAACTGAGAACAAGGGTATTACCGGCTGAAAGGGAAATTTGTGTCATATCGGATCGCCATGCTGGAATTCTAAATGCGGTGGTGATTGACATTCCCGGACATAGAAAGTTGCATCATCGATGGTGCATGAGGCACTTTTGTGCAAACTTCTATAGGGCATGTGGTATCAAGGAGTTGGCCGATGATCTTCAAGATTGTTGTCTCGCTTTCACCAACAAGCGGTTTTCCACATTGTTCAATGCATTGCTCAGACACAAGAAACTTGACCCCGGCGGTCAGGAGTTTCTCAATAAGAACATTGCCGAAAGGAATATGTGGGCACGTGCTTTCGATGAAGATGGCCGGAGGTACGGTCAAATGACAAGCAATATGGCAGAATGCTTCAATAAGGTGCTCAAGGGTGTACGTGCATTACCCGTGACGGCAATAGTTCAATACACATTTGACAAGATGAATGAATACTTTTTGAAGCACTCAATGGAGACTGATAAGCAGATTGCTGGTGAGAACAAGGATAAGCACAAGTACAATTTCCCACCAAAGGTTGAAGAATGGTTGGAATTTCAATCACGAAAGGCAGACTCCAAAGAAGCTGTTCTATATGACGACAACGAGTGGAAGTATGAGGTGAAAGAGCCCGGAGGAACCACAAATGATGGCCGCCAGCACGGAGGCCGGGCTTTCAAGGTCTCCCTAACACAGTGTGATTGCAGCTGCATGAGGCCGTCTTTGCCTCATCTCCCATGCTCGCACTTGTTAAATGCATCCCGGGTTAGGAATGTGGACGTCAATCACCCTCTAACCGTGAGGGAGTCCAAGTTCTCAATCATGACGGTAAAGAAGACATGGACTCCACGGTTCCAGCCATACTTGGACCAATCACAATGGCCGGAGTATCATGGAGTTCAACTATGGCCGGACCCGGAATTGAAGGTCGTTAGCCGGGGAAGACGTAAGACTAAGCGTCTTAGAGGTGACATGGACGGATGGGGCCGTGGTGGCGGTGGAGAATACGGCACCGGCCAATTCCAAGAGCCTCGTGAGGAATCCCGTTGTGGGGGCTGCAGTAATGGGGGACACAACACAAGAACTTGTCCCA